GAGCTGCCAGCCCAGCCTGGGTGCTGCAGAGAAGCCCAGGGATCAGCAGCATCCTTGGGGCACAGGCACTTGATTTTCGAAGCCCCCAGCTTCGAAATGGGGCAAAAATGGAGCAGAAAGTTGCTTTCAAGTAAATCTTTCACTGTCTGGATTTCCTGTGGGCTGAAAAGGCTCCCACGGCTGGTTGGCCTGGGCTTGGGAAGGCCAGGAAGGGAGAGAAACCATCCGGCATCACTCCATCCGTGGCCTCTCCCAGAGCTGTGCCCTCCAAACGAGCTCTTATTACTTTGCTTGTTGTCGTTTGCCAGATCAATGGTCCATGGAGGAGTGATCGATGGAGTCCCAGCTGGATAATAGCGCCATGTGCCCGGATGCTTGGTGCTGGGCTGGGCTCCACAGGGAGCTCCGAATCCCATCCCTGGCCGTGAAGGTGCTCCTTACTTCAGGGGACCCACCCAGACCCCTGCAAGGGGATGGTGGATGCTCCTGGGATGGGTTCTGGGCTCTGCCCTGCGCACCTAAAATTGGACAGAGGCTGCACCTGGGGACACCTGGGGACAGCAAGTCTGGCCCCCTCCCTTCATTTTGGCTGCATGCTGGGAGGTGGGGAGGGAGAGCGGGAATGTGGGCTCTGATCGATCAATTAATTAATTAATGGAGTGTGCTGGAGGTGCAGCGGCAGAGCTGCTTTAATGAGGGGTGAAAAACGTGTGGCGGCTCGGCAGGACATCACCAGAAGAGGAGATGGCCCCTCCTGCCTGTCCTCTGCCTGTCCCCTGCCCGTGGGCTCCCAAGAGGGTGACGGGGTGCGTGGCAGGGGGACGGTGGGCAGGGACGACGGGCACACGGTGGCCCTGGCCGCCTGCCCTCCATCCTGGGGCTCTGCCTGCTGCATTCAGACAGCGGGGAGGGGGGCTGACAATGTGAGGCCATTAGCATTGAAAATCCATGCAGAGCAGCTGTTCCCGCTCGGAGCATGCAGCTGGATGCGGCGACGGAGCGGGAGCCGAGGTGCTGGGAGAGGGAGGAAAGGCTGAGGGGGGACCTGATCGCCTCAGATCCCTTGGGGAGTCATCCAGAGCAAGCATGGAGGAGCCTTCCAGAGGGCTGGGCCAAGTGGGCTCCATCCCAGCGGCGGTCCTGCGGGCTGGGTGCGGATCCATCCCAGGGGAGGAGGATGCAGGATGCTCGTCTCTCCCTGCTCCCTCGGCCTCCCGCCGCGCTGGGTTTTTTTCCGCTCCATTTGCCAGGGGCTGGAGCTGCTGCCTGATCGTATTTGGTAATAAATTATTAGTTCCAGCACTCGGGAGCCCGGGAGCTCAAAATAGCTGCTGTAAGAGCGGGCGGCTGGTGCAGGTCAAGTTCAATGGCAATCTGCTCCCAAGGGCACTCTATGCTCATTAGGGGCCTTTCAAGGTGCTGGGAAGGGGGCAAGCTGGAGCCAAGGTGCTAAACCTGCCCACTTCCTGTTTCTTGACAGCAGTATCCCCTGCCCGGGGATTTTGGGGTGCTGAGAGCCCATGCCTGCCCCTCGCTGCCCGTTCCTGCCTGCCCGCAGCGGCTGCCGGTGGGTTTTATTTGTCTCCAGCCCCACCAGGCAGCCAGACTGGTTCTGCTCTCGCTGCCGGAGGAGGCTCCCGCTGCCAAAAAACCCGCCAGCATCATCAGGAGCAGATGGAGAGAACATGGCACACTCCCAGCTCCCAGCTCCCAGCCCTGCGCCGGGGATGTGAGGGGGGCAGGGACACCGCTCCAGAAGCCAGAGGCTTGGGGTCCTGCACTACTGGATATGCCAAACCCCATGGCAGGTGCCATGTGTGGCACTGTGGGAAGGAGTGGCACAGGGAAGGGTGAGGGGAATATGGCAGTGACCCTGCCATCCCCTCTCCTCCTCCTGCCGGGCAGGGAGCTGCCTACTCCTGTGGCCAGCAGCCAACGGGCACCGGGAATGCCAGACACTCCCTGTGCCGCTGTGCCTGAGCACATGCTGTGGGAGGGTTGGGGACAGGGTGACACATCACCTGCTTCCCAGTCCCCAACCTCCCCCATGGCCTCAGCAGGGCCCCAGGTGCCCTGCAGCCCTGCAGCCCCCCCGCCTTGGCACTTTGGAGGGGTACAGGCAGCAGCTGCCCAGGGACAGGTACTTGGGCGTGTCAGCCCTGCACCCCACAGGGCCGGGGGCAGTGGAGGGACAGCCTGCCCTGTTTTGGGGTTCATGTCCCCGCCCCGGTGAGGCAACTGCTGACGTGACCCCGGACTGCTCCAGGCACAGAACTTGACCTGTTTTTCCGCACGGATCTGCCTGCTGGGAAAAGCAGCCGGGGAAGAGCTGAGCAGGCGTGGGGGAGCACCTCACCGTGGGGCATCACGGCGTCCCCAGCCGCCCTCAGGGGTGAGTGGCATCAACACGGCCCCGGCGGCGGGATGCCGGACAGAAGGAGGGACACAGTGTGGCCCCACATCCCATCCCCACGTGGATGCTCCTGCCCAGCCAGCTCTCCGTGCCTCAGTTTCCCCAGCTGGCAGCTGTCCCTTGGAGCAGTCCAGGGACGCCTGGACAGACGGACGCCAGCGCCGTCGGGGCATGGCGGGTGAGCGGCGCTGCTCGGGCCCCAGCCGGGGCGGAGGCGCCGATTTTATCACCGGGAAGAAGCAGCAAAACTGGTTTTGAGCCCGGCTGGGGCAGCGGCACAGCTCAGCCCGGGGGGCACACGAGCTCCCCGCACGCTTCCCGGCGAGCTGCCGGCTCCCAGCTGCCCTGCGCTCTCCTGGCAAATCCCATTGAGATCATGAGTTTGCCGGGAGGCGTTTGGGGCCGCGGGGATCAGCTGAGCATCACACGGGTGATGCCCTGCCGCCAGCCCCGTGCCCGGAGAGCGTGTGCCAGTGAGCTGATCCCACCGAGTGGCTGGCAAAGTGTCTCCAGACATGGATTGGGGCTGAAATGGGGGGGGGGTTATACCTGGGTTAATAGGTAGGGAGAAGCTGGGGGGCACTGGGAAGTGGTTGGGGATTGCAAAGCTGTGCCCGGGGGTTGTGGGGCTGTGCTGGAAGAATGCAGGGATGTGCCCAGGCTGTACCTGGGGGATGTGGGACGATGCCCATGGAATGTGGGGCAGTGCCCATGGCGTGCAGGGCTGTGCCTAAGGGTGTGGGGCTGTGCCTGTGAGCTGTGGGGTAATACTTGGGAGACGTGGGGCCGTGCTTGGGGAATTCAGGACTGCAGCCAAGAGAATGCCAGGCAGTGCCTGGGGGTGCAAGGCTGTGCCTGGGGGGTGCAGGATTGTGCCCAGGGGGTGCAGGGCAGTTCCTGGAGGATGTGTGGCAGTGCCCAGGGGGTGCAGGACTGTGCCCAAGTACATGGGGCTGTGCCTGAGAGCTTTGGGGCAGTGCCTGGAGGATGCAGGGCTGTGCCAAGGGGATGCCAGGCAGTGCCTGGATGATACAGGACTGTGCCTGGGGGATGTAGGGCAGTGCTCAGGGCATGCAGGGCAGCGCCCAGGGAGTTCAGGCTGTGCCTGGGGTGCTGCATCCCCTTTGTATGGTGCATGGGTGCCTGGTGGGGCAGGTATATCCCCGTGCCTTGCTCCTGGGGGGACACCAAGGACTCATCCGGGGGTCCACAAGCTGAAGCAGAGCCCGGGGTGCTGGTGCAGAGCCCGGGGGTGCCGGTGCAGAGCCTGGGGGTGCCGGGGCCAGGCTGGCGTGGCGGGTTGGCTTCCCAGCTGTTCTGGTAATGAATTTACATGAGCCGAGCGTGTCGACAAGGCGGCAGTCAATGGCTGAGAGCACCGGAGTTAATAAATGCTTGTATAATGAGGGCAGAGGGGAACGTGCCGCCGCGCCGGCCGCCTCTCCTGGGGCCGGGGGGCAAAGATTAATCAACGCTGAGTGCCACTCGTGCCCCCCCGGCTCCCGCAGCGCCCGGCGCTCTACCCAGCCAGCCGCTGCCACGGGATGCTCCAGTGTCTCCCGCGGTTATGCTCTACCCACCCACCCCCTATCATGGGATTCTCCAGATGTTCTGGCGTCATCAATGCCTCCAGTTGCCTCCAGCCCCACTGGGAGTTGGGGAGCTGCCCCGCGACCCTCCCCCACCATCCGCCTGCCCACCTGGGAGCTGGGCTAATTTTAGGCTGGTGTTAATGAAGCTGCTCGGTGAAGTCTATTTTAAGGGCCCTGACATCAGCAGTTACTGTATCGGGAGGTGGAGAGCCCTGGAGCAACTGGTGTGACAGCTCGGGGGACACGAGGTGGGCTGCACCTTCCTGCTCAGCTCCTGAACCCCCAGTTTTGGGGGTCACTGTGCCCTGTAGCACCTTGGTGCTTAGGAGTGCAACGAAGGGGATTTTGGGGGGCTGTGGTGAGGATTTGAAGGTGCATTTTGAGGAGCTGGGGGTGCTGTGGTACAGATTTGGGGGTGCAGTGCTGGAGTTTCGGGGTGCAGTGCTGGGGATCCATGGATGCAATATTGGGGATTTGGGGGTGCAGTGCTGAGGATCCAGGGATGGAATGGTGGGGATTTGGGGCTGCAGTGGTGGGAACTTGGGGGTGCAATACTGGCAATCTAGGGATGCAGATTAGGGATTTGGGGGTGCAGTGCTGAGCATCCAGGGATACAGTGTGGGGATTTAGGGGTGCAGTGGTGGCAATTATGGGTTGCAGCAGTGGTGCTTTGGGTTTTGGCAGTACCATGAAAGTCAGGGGACTGCTTTGCTCTCATCACCTCCATCAGGATGCTGAAGTCCCCGTGTCCCTCAAAACACCCTCTCCCTTACCGTGGGGCCCCACTGAACCCCCTTACTCCATTATCCAGGGATTCAGTGAGGCCATTGGATGCCCCCATTGCCTGAACTCGGGGTGCATTTTGGGGTGGTGAACCAGAGGGAAGGTCTTGCTCATCCCACTAGTTGTTCCAGCTCTGGGGGCGGAGGCGGGGGGGAATTGAGGATCCACTCTCCAGGTTAGGCCCTGTCTAACCCGGGCTCTCTCATTCACAGGCATGAGCCATGAGCCGAAGTCGCCGTCCCTAGGAATGCTCTCCACTGCCACCCGCACCACCGCCACCGTCAGCCCCCTCACCCCATCCCCCCTCAACGGCTCCATCGTCCCCAATGGCAGCCCTGCAGCCAGCAGCACTTTGTCCGTCCAGGCAGCACCTTCCTCCAGCTTCGCCGCCGCTCTCCGCAAGCTCGCCAAGCAAGCCGAGGAGCCCCGAGGTAGGGACAGGGATAGGGGACAGGGGAGTGACAAACACCAGTGCCTTTCCCCCCGCCACCACCCGGGAGCTGCTGTTTTCTTGCCATTTCCCAGCTAATGTCTTTCCCCCCCGCGCCGTGTCTCGAGGGGGCAGTTTAGGAATTCAATTCAGCCAGAGTAATCCAAATGCCGGATCACTCACCATAGCCTGGGAGAAAGCCTGGGAGAGAGCAGTGTGGGGGAAAAAACAGCCCTGCTCCCTCCCACCACGCTTCACCCAAATGCTGTTTCTTTCCAGAGGTTCCCTCAGATTTGCTCCTTCCTCAAATTCCATGACTAAATGGCAAATTTGAGCTCACCAGGACGTCCCCGTCCCTTGTCACCCATATCCTCCATCACGCCCCCCTGTCTGCTCAGATGTGGGGTGATGGGATGTGAGGTGGTTCTGGAGCACCACGTGGTCCCCACTGCCACAGGGAGCATGTCCCATGGGAATTGCCAGGGCTGTCCCACATACAGAAGGGGAGGCAGCCAGTCCCCAGGCTGTGAAGTGTTTCACCAGGAGGCTGCTGGCATCATCAGTTTAGGATGAAATAGCATTTATCCGTGGCATTTGCATTGGTGGGTGCTCCCCTTGGGTCACTGCCCACCACCCGGGCACTTTGATCCCTGGAGAAGACACTCAACCCCTTTGCAAGGGATTTTTAGCAAGGTCTTTTTGGAAGACCCTCTTTAAAAGACCCTTTTAACAAGGCCCTATTGGGACAAGCCTTTTTCCAAGACCATTTTTTCAAGGCTCTATTTGGGAAACCCTTTTTTTAGAAGGACCGTCTGCAAGACCCTCCTCGTAGCCCCCCACCAGCCCCCAAAAGCCCCATCACAGCCATGACCTGAAGCATCAGCTGCTCCCAAGGAAGCATGTGGGGACACCAGGTCCCTGTGAACTGAGGGGACCATGTCTTGGTGATGTTTCATCCTTGCTGGGAACTCCTGGTTCTCCCCAGCTGCCTCCTCTGGAACCCATCTGCTTCCTTTGGGGCAATCGACTGGGTTTGGGGGATTATTTTGCTTTTTCTTCCCCCCCGGTACCCCACAGCTCATGCCCTCCCAATACTGCTCAGCCCATCCCAAAGCACGTCATCAGGTTTGGGCATGGATTTCATGGCACTGGGGAGAAGCAGTAACATTCCCTTTGGATTTGCCCTTAACACATGCATAGTTTGTTTGCAAAACCCCCCTGCCCTCGCCCATCTGGGTGCCCCAAGTGGCTCATCCTGGAGGTTTTTAATTGGTGTGGGTTTGGGGGTGTGCTGGGAAGGAGATTTTTCTCCATGCAATGGCTTTTAGCATCAGGAAATTAATGGCTTTGCACCAAAATCCTCACCCACTTCCCACAACAGGAGATACTCACTCCTCTTCCCTTCCCACTGTGGGAGATGCTTTGCCATAGTAGTTGCCAGCTATGGGGTGATGCCAACAAGATCCACCCAAGATTACTGTCTTTTTTCTGGCTTTATGGACTCACAGTTCTGCTGGGGCATCTGTTAGGGATGTCCCACTGTCCCACAGCGTCCCAAACTGCTGGGGCTCATCCTAACTGACCCCATCCCAGCAAAGCCCCCTGAAACCGCCACCTGCCCAGGGGCTCCTTCCAGCAAAGCCCCACGAAGCCACTGCCTGCCCGGGGGCTGCTGCGTCTTGTCCTGCCCCAGGCTGTCCGCAGGGTGGGTTTTATTCCACCCTCCCTTCCCTTCTTTTTTCCCTGTTCTCCGTCAGGGTCTCAGCTGTTAATTACATTTGCCTGTCAGCCCGGGCTGCTAATCTGCTATCGCGGAGCGGGAAGCGGGAGGTCAGAAAACAAAGGTGACACCATCACACTGTGCCTCTTGTCATCTCCAATCCAGATTAGTTTCATTGACTAACTCCTGGCTGAATACCACCAGTTAATTATAACGATCACAAACCCTCCCGTTTAAAGCCACACAGCGAGAATTAAGGTTCTGAAGTAAGACTTTAGCTTCATTAATTGCCGGGCTCATTGTGATGGTATTGATTGTTAACGCTATCGCGTGGTGAGTAATGGCTTCCCAGCTCAGAGGGGATTAGGCTGCTAATTGTTGTTGGCCTTGCGCTGACAAGATAGACTTCAGTGGGTGTCAAATCCGTGTGGCGGCCTCCTTTGTCGGGGACAGCCTTTCTCCTTCCCCCAGCCTTGCTGCTCTTCAAATGAAAGCGATTCGGAGCGACTCGGGAATAATTAATACAGGAGGGCGGCCGGCAGTGGGATGCTCCGCTTGGCCTCTGCTCTGCCGAGCATCCTTCCCGCTGAGAATCCTTCTGGAGCATCCTTCCCACCCAGCATCCTTCCCGCTGCCTGGGGATGCTCCTGCCTCCCCGTGGCATTCCTGACCTTGCTTCTTCCTGGTGTTCCGCTGTCACAAGGATGGCGAGGGGATGGAGGTGGGTTGCAGGGTCACAGGGTGAGGGAGCAGCTGCTGGCACTCTCGGGGGAGCCAGCTGGTGTGCTCACAGGGCAAGGAGCTGGCATGCACACTCAGGGGAGTGGGCTTGCACACCTGAAAGCTGAGGAGACACCTTGCACACTCAGGGGAGCCAAGGCCACTCTCAGTGCCAGGCTCAGTGCCAGAGGGAGCATCGCTGTCAGCTCTCTGATGGCACCCTGTGGTGACCATGGGCCACTCCTCACTCTCCAAAGGCTGATCCCTGCTGGTATGCCAGAATCTTCCCCCTGACCCAGACTCCAGGCTGGAGGGAGCAGGGTTTGGGGGGTCAGAGCCCCCCAGGCCGCCTGGCTGGGTTTGAGGATTGGACAGCATTCCATGGAGCAGACGCCAGGCACCGTGTGCCCTGGTTAATGTGGAATTTGTATTTCTGCTCCATCTCTGCTTTTCCCACTTTCTGCTTTAACTCCATTTCCATTTTTCCATTTGGAAATATGGCCAGCATCCCTGGGGTGGGGATAATGTAAAATACAGATGTATTATGCAAATAAGGCCAAAGCTTTGCTCAAGGGTTTTGGGGAGTCACTCCATCCCAGTGTCTCCAGGTACCCTGGCTTGTGCATAGAAACTTTTGCAGCTGGATTAAGGAGTCTTTGGGTTCAGCTTGAGAAGATGTGGCTATCTGGGGTTGTCATCTCATTGGTGTCACTTGTGCCAAGAGGCTTTATTAGACTAGTGGGATTGGAAGCCCCTATTAGGGAGAAAGAGGGTACCCATCCCACTATGTGGGGTGAAGCCCTTTTGCACCAGTGGGAACCTACCTTGGTACAGGCTCCCTGGGAACCCCAGGATGGGAGGATGAGGGTCCAGTCTGGGCATCTGGTGGGATGCTGACCACCGTGCGAGCATCCCTGGTCCCTGCAGTGGGGCATCCTGTCAGGAGTGGCTCTGTCATTTTTGGAGGGTGCTTTCATCTGGCTAACTGCTGTGTTTTCCCAATTCATTTTAATTTTTAATTTCAGGGTCCTCACTAAGCAGCGAGTCGTCCCCAGTCTCCTCGCCAGCCACCAACCACAGCTCCCCCGCCAGCACCCCCAAACGTGGCCCCATGGGCCCCATCATCGTGCCCCCGGGGGGGCACAGCGTGCCCAGCACGCCGCCCGTCGTCACCATCGCCCCAACCAAGACGGTCAACGGGGTCTGGAGGAGCGAGGGCAGACAGGTATGGCTGTGTTTGTTGGGTGCCCAGCCCCCTCAAAGGTTGGAGGGTGTGATTGTGATCTGCGCTGCTCCTGAGGGATCACAGGGCTGCCCCCCACTATGTCCCTTCTCCTCCCCGTGGTGTCCCCGAGCTGCTGTAGTCACCGGGGCTGCCATGTCCCCGCGCTGCCATGATTCCTGGGCTGCCATCATCCCCGGGCTGCCATCCAGAGGGGAGCTCGAGGAAGAAGGAAGCGCGGGGAGGGGGGGAGCGGCTAATTAAGAAGCATCGTTAGTGGTTCTCCTCTCCTCCGCATGCTACAAGCAGATTCCCGGGGGGATTATGCCACTTGGAAAGACTAATTAAACCACAAAGCGGAGAGAGGCAAGGGTAGGGGATGCAAAACGCCGAGGGCGGGGGAGGAAAATAAATGGAACTCGATCGCCGGGCACTCGGTGGGGTGTGTGGGGTGTCCGGGTGCTCCCCACCCCCGTGTCCCCCCGTGTCCCCCCTGTGCCGCCTCTCCCCGGCGCGGGGGTAACCGAGCGTGGTTATTGTGTGGCAGAGCCGCGCTCGCAGCGTGACGCCCCGAGACGGGAGGTAATTGGAGCAGAGCCTGGCACGCACAATGAGCCTGCTCCGTGCAGGCGGCAGAGGTGGCGGGGAGGGGGGGACACGGCGCCCTTTGTGCCGGCCGCGGTGACCTTGGGGCTGTTCCTAATGGCTGGGGACCTGCGACTTGCCCTGGAGGGTCTGGGGAACGGGATGGGATGGGATGGGACGGGACGGGGGGGGGATGGACAGGGTGGGGGATGCTGTGGGTGTTGCCATCCTCCTGCTGAGCTGCTAAACACAGAAGGTGCAATGAAAAAGAATCAATTTTAAACCCAAACTTGCCTTGCTGGGGGCCACCCCCTTAAGTGTCAGACCCTACAGGCTCCCTTGTCACCCCAAGTGGTCCCCCATTGCTGGGGGGTGCCTCCACAGCTGGAGGGAGAGATCATCCTGGCACTGGGGATGGGAGCTGATGGGAGACGGCTGGGGCCCCATGTCAGGGTGGGGGTGTTGATGCCAGAGGGGAGCTGGGAGGATTCCAGGCTGACCCCTGGGTTATGGCTGTTATCAAAGCCCGGCTGGATTTCCCCTGCCTGTGTCCTCCCCGGATGATTAATAGCTCTGGAGAACAAAGCAGCCCATAAATCTCCAGGCAGGTAATGGGTGTCCTGCCCTCAGCTCTTCTCAGGCTTCAGCACCCCTTTTCCCACTGATGCCCCCCTAGTGTAGCCCCCCAGACCCTAACACCCCTCCAGCTGCACTTCTAAAGCCTAGATGCAGGAGGATGCTCTGATGGAACTGGTGCCAGTCAGGGATCCCTCTGAGCACACTGGGAACCCCCTGGGGGTCTCTGGGTAGGGACACAGCAGTGACACTCCATTCCTGTGGGATCTCTGCCATCCCCTAATGCCCACCTTGGCATTCCTGCCCCTTTGCCTTCCAGCAGGAAGCAGGGTCACGAGGCAGCAGCAGCAGCACTGGCCGCGAGCGCCTCATCTCGGAGCCCCCACTCACACAGGAGAAAGCAGGGGGTCCCACCGTCCCCTCCCACCTCCTGGGGACACCCTACTCCTTCGGGCTGCCCCCCAGCTCCGTGGTCCAGGACTCCCGCTTCCCACCTCTCAAGTGAGTCTGGTCGGAATGAATGGAGGGTGGGGGGTTGCAGGATGCTGTCCCCTGCGAGCTCTTGTCCCGTCTTGGGGAGTCACATCTCCCCAGGGGGGTAGGGTGGAATGGTGACCATCTCCCTACCCCCCCAGCCTGCAGCGGCCGGTCCACCACGTGGTGCCTCCCAGCGCGGTCACCGAGGATTACCTGCGGAGCTTCCGTCCCTACCACACGGCCGAGGACCTCCGCATGTCCTCCCTGCCGCCCCTCGGCCTCGACCCGGCCACCGCCGCCGCCTACTACCACCCCAGCTACCTGACACATCACCCCTTCCCACATCCTGCCTTCAGGTGGGCACCTCAGGACCTCGGGATCCCAGGGAAATGCTGGAGGAGGAGCCTTGTGGGCTGGGGAACTGGGAGAGTGATCCACAAAGGATGTTTGGGCTGCACCGGGGGGCATTTTGAGGCTCTCTCAACACCTTCTCCCAGCAGAAGGCGGCCCCCATCCAGCTTCCACGTGGGGAACTGGGGGGTTCTTTGGCCCTCCTGAGCATCCCTGTCTTCCCAGGATGGACGAGTCTTACTGCCTGTCGGCACTGCGGTCCCCCTTCTACCCGCTGCCAGCGCCGGGCTCGCTGCCACCCCTGCACCCCTCGGCCATGCACCTGCACCTCTCGGGGGTGCGGTATCCCCCCGAGCTCTCCCACTCCTCCCTCTCCGCCCTCCAGTCCGAGCGCATCTCCAGCCTCGCTGCCGAGAGGTACAGAAGGGCTGATGGGTGGGGGTGATGGTTTTGAGGTGCTCCAGGGGATGCTGATAGGTGACCAGGGGTGGGTTTGGGGTGCTCCAGGGGGTGCTGACAGGTGGCTGGGGGTTAGCTGGGGGTGCTCCAGGGGCACTGACAGGCAGCTGGGGGTTTTGGGGTGTTCCAGAGGATGCTGACAGGCATCTGGGGATTTGGGGGTGTTCCAGAGGATGCTGACAAGTGACTGGGGGTGGTTCGAGGGTGCTCCAGGGGATTCTGACAGATGACCAAGGGTTGTTTGGAGGTGCTTTGGGGAAAATGTGCACGTCTGGGAGTGCTCCAGGGAATGCTGACAGGCACGGGGTGGGGCTTGGGGGTGTTCTGGGGGATGGTGACAGGCATCTGGGGGTGGGTTTGGGGTGCTCCAGTGGATGTTTGGGGTTGGTGCTTTTCTTATGGGCTTTTCTTTGCAGGCTGCAAATGGATGAAGAGCTGCGGCAGCGGGAGCGGGAGCGGGAACGGGAGCGGGAGAAGGAGCGGGAGCGAGAAGCCGACCGGGAGCGGGAGAAGGAGCGGGAACGGGAGCGGGAACGTGAGAAGGAGCTGGAACGCGAGCGGGAAAAAGAGCGGGAGCGGGAGCTGGAGAGGCAGCGGGAGCGTGCCCGGGAGAAGGAGCTGAGCATGGTGAAAGCCATGGAGGGGCCCTTCCTCCCCGTGGCAGAGCTGCACGGGCTGCGGGGGCACCTGGCTGAGGAGCGGGGCAAACCAGTGGAGCCGCTGGCACCCGGCAGACCAGGTAACATCCCCATGGGTGGCACTGGATGAGTTGCTGCCTTTGGCACAGCTTGCCTTGGTCCCCTCTCCCCTCCAGATGGCAAAGCCACGGCAGTCGGTGGCCCTGGGAGGTGGCTGGGGATGGAGCTGGGCTCTCCTGGCTGCCAGCTTGCTTTGCCAAGAGCCCAGCTGCAGTGGCTCAGAGCAGCAGCACGGTGCCTGTGCCATCTGACTCGGTCTGGGTGGTACCTTGCCCGGTGCCGTGCATGCTGGCTGTGAGAGGGCAGCACCCTTTGCTGAGCTCCAGCCCCACAGCTCTGGGTCCCTCCTGTCCACAGGGGTGCTCACCCCAAAATTCCCTGATAGCCACCCATGGGTATCCCCCTCTTTCCCTGCCCTGACTCTCCATCACCCCTTTTCCAACACAGACAAACTCAAGGACTCGGTACTGCCGACGCCGAAGCCCATCCAGCACCCCCTGCACCCACCACCGGGCTCCCACCACCCAGTTCCCAGCCTTATCCCCAACCACAGCGTGTTCCCACTGCCAGGGAGCAGCGCGGCCACGGCACTGCTCATCCACCGCACCAATGAGGAGGAGAAGTGGCTGGCCCGGCAGCGCCGGCTGCGCCAGGAGAAGGAGGATCGGCAGTCCCAAGTCTCGGAGTTCCGGCAACAAGTACTGGAGCAGCACCTGGACATGGGGCGTGTCCCAAGCCAGCCTGAGCCCGAGCACCGGCCTGAGCATCCCAGGTAGGGATGATGCCAGCCCTGCTCCAGGGATGGGGATTCCCCCTAAAACTGAGCTGCGTTTTCCCATGTTGCAGCTTTCTTTGCTGTAATATCCATATCTTAAACTGGGGAGGGACTTTGGACAAGGGTATGGAATGATAGGACAAGGGGGAATGGCTTTAAATGGAAAGAGGGCAGGTTTAGATTAGATATTGGGAAAAAATTCTTCCCTGTCAGAGTGGTGAGGCCCTGGCACAGGTTGCCCAGAGAAGCTGGGCTGCCCCATCCCTGGAAGTGTTCAAGGCCAGGTTGGACAGGGCTTGGAGCAACCTGGTCTAGTGGAAGGTGTCCCTGCCCATGGCAGGGGGTGGAACAAGATGAGATTTAAGGTCCCGTCATCGTAAAGCACCGAACCATTCCATGGTGCTGTGATATGATGATCTATAAGTTTTCTATGATGATCTATAAGTTTTCCCCCCTAACCCATGGCTGTACCCACAGAGTTGTAGGTAGCTCTGCCCCCTTCCCAGGTATCCATCACCCCACTGCCGCACCCCTTGCTCCTCACACATCCCTGTGAGCCAAAGCCATGGTGTCCAGGCTGGCACCAGCAGGTCCCTGCCAGGCGGTGCCAGCCAGGCCGGCTGTGCTGGCAGCGTCCAGCATTCCCGGTGCCCGACATCTGCGCGGCGGCAGGCGAAGAGCCCAGGAGGTGGCCGGGGGCCAGCGGCGAGTGGCCAGGTGCTGCCCAGCCACCGGCACCGCTAATTGCATCTCCCCCTTCTCATGCAGCGGAGCCAGACACTGGGATGCCTCGTTTAGGGGGCACCTGTGCTGAGCCTGGGCAGTTTGGGGGGGCAGCAGAGCGTGCCTGCACCCTTTGGTTGATTGACAGGGGCTGGCTCACCCCCGTTGCTGAGCGCTTAAGCAGTGCGGGCTCATCCAGCCAGCTCTGCCGCCTGCTCCTTTTGTTATTTTTGGGTATCCAGGGGATTAGTGCGGCTCATCAAGGATAATAAGGAGCGGATCATGGGGCGGCACAAAGGCGAGTGCCCGCTGCAGGCTCCTTTCCCCATCCGCTCCTCCCACCCCAACGGGAGAGGAGGCAGCAAGGTCACCCTGAAACACCTGCAGCCGGGGATGCTCCATTCCCATCCTTATCCCACATCCAGTGGGGAGGGAGAGGGACTGATCCCAGAGGGCAGGTGGTGCTCTCCGCCGGCGGTGACACGATGGTGGCGGTGACACGATGGTGGCTGAGCTGAACCCGCTGCTCCGTGTGCGGAGCTTCAGGGTGCTGGAGCGGAAAAGCGTTAAATGCACAGCTTGGGCACATGAAATATTTATCCTGCTAACGGGCTGGCTCCGGCTCTGGCTGTCAGAGAAGGGCTGCACTGGGGCACTGCCCTGGCTGCCGGGGCTGTGCCAGGACTAGTGGATCTCTTGTCCCCACATGGGGGTCAAGCCTGGGGTCTCCTGCCTGGCACCCTGGGGATGCAGCCACATCCCTGCCCAATCCTCCCATGCACAGCCTTAACTCTGCCGCCGTCCCTCAGGTTGGTGGCACAGGAGGGGACAAGTATGGCAGCCCCACATGCAGAAACCCTTCTGGGCAGCCCTAACTGGCATATTTCTTCCCTAAAATCCCCTGGCGCTGGAGTGCTGCCAGCTCTCCAGTGGCGGTGCCGGCTCCTCACCTCTCCGGTCCTTTCGTCTCCCTGCAGGTCGGGATCGAGCCGCCACGAGCCAAGCAGCCGGGAGCCAGGGCAGCACTTCGGTGGGCCCCCACCACTCATCTCCCCCAAACCCCAGCACCACCCTGTCACCACGTCCCTCTGGAACCCTGTCTCGCTGATGGAGAACCCCCCCGATCCCCCGCGGCGCCTCCCTGAGCCCCATGCCCTCCACGGCCACCCAGCCCCCTTCGAGCCCAGCCGTCAGGGCATCCCGCTGGTGAAGGTGGAGAGGGTCTTCTGCCCCGAGAAGCTGGAGGAGGGGGCAAGGAAGAGGGATGTTCTGGAGAAATACCCCCCGGGACGGGAGCCTGGTGCCCCAGAGCACGGGGGCTTCACCCACACCCCCTTCCTAGCTGAGCTGGAAAAGTCCACTCAGAGCATCTTGAGCCAGCAGAGACCCCCGGCCACCCCCTTCCCTGAGGCCACCAAGCCCAGCTCGCCCTACCGGCCCCCCCAGCCCCGCGCCCAGGACCCCATGTACATCTACGACGAGTTCGTGCAGCAGCACCGCAGGCTGGTCAGCAAACTGGACCTGGAGGAGCGCCGGCGGCGGGAGGCCCGGGAGAAAGGTGAGGGACCGGGGATGCTGCTACTGGCACTGGGACCTGGTGACGGGGGAGTGGCTGGGGGGTCTCCCGGGGATGCCGCCGCTCCTGCATCTGAGCGGCTCGGTAAACCCTCCGCTCCAGACATGCCCAATTAATAAATGATGAACTGAGGCTAATAAGTGGGTTTTAAATATTAATAGGACTGCGCGAGCAAGGAGAACGGTGGTGAGGAGGAGATGGAGCGCTTGTGGGGGGCTGGTGTTGCTCTCTCCCCTCCATTGGGTTGTGGGGCTTAGCCACAGCCTCCCCCCGGCCCTGCCCCATTGACCCCTTGCCACCTATCCCATAGCGGTGCCAAGCAGGGACACAGGGGTGGGCGATGCCCACCAAGGTCCCATGGCTGCTGGAGGGGGGACAGGGCTCCATTGAGTTGCACCTCCCGTCCCGCTGGGCCCCACACTGGACCCCCACTGCTCCCCCCTGGCATCCCACCCCACTGCACCAGCACCCTGATGCACCCCCATCCCCAGTGGGGTCCCAATGAGTTCCAGAAGATTTCCTGGGATCCCAGAAGGTCTCTGTGGTGTCCCCAGTCTCAGGGCAGCCTCTCCCCATCCCCAGGGTACTACTATGACCTGGACGACTCCTGTGATGACAGCGATGAGGAGGAGGTGCGGGCCCATCTCCGCTGCGTGGCCGAGCAGCCCCCGCTGAAGCTGGACACGTCCTCTGAGGTACTGATGGCACTCCCTGTCCCCTCCTGGTCCCCCCGTCCCTCCATGTTCTCTGGAGGAGCAGCCCCTCCTCAGCACCAGCTCCCAGTGTTGTGCTGAAGCCACCATCTTCAGCTGGCTGCAGAGGCACTGGAGGGTTAGGGATAGGGATGGGGATTGCGATGGAGGTAGGGAATGGAGATGAGAATGGGGATGGGGATGAGGAGGGGGATTGGAATGGGGATGAGGGTAGGGATGAGGATGAGGATGGAAACAGGAATGAAGATGAGGATGGGAATGGGGATGAGGATGGAGATGAGGATGGGGATTGTTCCGGGGATGACCCTGCTCTGCTCTCCCCCTTGTCGCCCCAGAAGCTGGAGTTCCTGCAGCTCTTCGGCCTCACCACGCAGCAGCAGAAGGAGGAACTGCTGAGCCAGAAGCGGCGCAAACGCCGGCGGATGCTGCGGGAGCGGAGCCCTTCGCCGCCCACGGTGCAGAACAAGCGCCGCACACCCTCCCCGCACCTCCCGCTCTCCACCCGCTACAGCCCCGACGAGATGAACAACAGCCCCAACTTCGAGGAGAAGAAGCGCTTCCTCACCATCTTCAACCTCACGCACATCAGCGCCGAGAAGAGGAAAGGTAACAGCCATGCCCCGCGCACGCCCGGGGCCGGGCCCCGCTCCTTGGTTTGGGGGTGCCACGGAGGGGTCCTGCCTGGGCCCGTGAGCTTGCTCTGCTGAGCAGAGGCTACACTAAACCTCAGCTTCCCATGCCGCAGACAAGGAGAAGCTGGTGGAGATGCTCCAGGCCATGAAGCAGAAGACCACGCCGGCTGCCGTGGTGGTGAAGAGCTCCCCGCGGGACAGCCCTAATGCCCCGACCACTGGTAAGCACGCTAAGTCCTTCCCTGGCTCTCGGCCGGCTGGGAGCATCCCCTTCCTGCTGGGATGAGGGCCACAGCTTTGCCTTGATGGGCACACGGAGTCTTGACTGCAGCTGTCGCTCCTCCTCTTCCCAAAGAGCCACCGGTGCCGCCGCTGCTGCTGGATCCGGATAAACCCGTGGGCATCGCTGTCTCCGTGCCGGAGGTGCCAAAGATGGGGGAGCCTGGCAGGTTAGACCAGCTGAGACCCCAGGACCTACCGAGGGCCAAGGAGTTGGGCACTGCACTGGCGGAGAAGCCCCGGCTGAGCGATGGGCACCCCGGGAAGAAGGCACTGAGCATCCTCAGCTATGTCAGGGGTCCCCTGCCCAAGGACATCCCGGTGCCACTGTCTCACAGCATGAACGGCAAGAGCAAGCCCTGGGAGCCCTTCATTGCCGAGGAGTTTGCCCATCAGTTCCACGAGTCAGTGCTGCAGTCCACACAGAAGGCATTGCAGAAGCACAAAGGTAACAGGAAGCACAGATCACAAAATCCCAGGATCACTGAGGTTGGAAAAGGTCTACGAGATCACTGAGTCCAACCTGTGACCGATCCCCACCTTGTCACCCAGCCCAGAGCACTCAGTGCCACGTCCAGTTATTCCTTGGACACTTCCAGGGATGGGGACTCCACCACCTCCCTGGGCAGGCCCTTCCAGTATTTAGCAACCCTTTCAGTAAATTCTTCCTGATGTTCAGAAAAAAAAAGCAGGAATATGGGAATCTAGCTGGGTGCCACTGCTATAGCACCCTGTTGTCCCACCACCAGGGTTCGTCACCAGCAACCTCATTGCTGGAGCATCCCCAGAGCTCATTTATGAAGCTAAAAACAAGGTGCTGGGATAACCCAGCTCCAACCCCCCCAAACTCATTGAATTCAATGAGTGAGAGAAATAAAGCTACTGCAGTGCATGGGGAGCGATGAAAACCCATGAAAAACGCTGTAGCCCCCCAAAAGTCCTGGTAGAGTGGAATTAAAGCCTTGAGAGGAGCATCCCTCTTGGAGGGCAGCGCTGGGGGGCGCAGGGAACGGGCAGGGGGCTGACTCTGGTTGCCCACAGGGGGGACGGCGGCGCTGACGGCGGAGCAGAACCACAAGCTTGACGCCTCCATCCACTACAACATCCCGGAGCTCCAGGCGTCCACCCGCCTGGCCGGGCCCCCCCACAACGGCACGGCCGAGGGGCCTCTGGCCCACCGGGCACTGCCCCTGCTGCCCCGCGACTCGGCCTCTGAGGAAGAGGACGAGGAGGAGGAGGAGGAGGAAGAGGAGGAAGACTACCCCAGGCCCAAGTGGCAAGGGATCGAGGCAATTTTTGAAGCTTACCAGGAACATATAGAAGGTATGTTCCTTCTATATAGGGGTTCCTTCTATATAGGGGTTCCTTCTATATAGGGGCGGGGTGGGCCACGGAGGGTAAACCCCAACTTTGTGCTGCTGTTTCCCCTCGGAGGCATCTCTGGTTCCCGCTGGGATGGGCTGGGGAAGCACTGGTGGATCTACAGCACTGCAGGAGCAGCATGAAAGTGACAGGCACTGGTGAAAAGTGATCTATATGTGAAAAATCAGTGTATTCACGACTGTCCAGCATGCTCCCAGCGGGACCCAGAGGTTCCCTGTGGGCAGTGCAGGGGCTGGGGATGCTCTGGGGTGCTGGGGACAATCACTGCTGGCTGGGCAGAGCCTTGATCAGGGCTGGCATCCTCTGTGCCAGGCCTGGAGCCAGAGGAGCCGGTGCTCAGCCCCTCTCCCTTGGATCTTGCAGAACAAAACCTGGAGCGCCAAGTGCTGCAGACGCAGTGCCGGCGGCTGGAGGCCCAGCACTACAGCCTGAGCCTGACGGCGGAGCAGCTGTCGCACAGCATGGCGGTGAGTGGGCACGGGCACCCCGTCCTCCTGGGCTCTGAGGGCTGCCCAGTCCTCCTGGGCATCTGGCCTCTGCGGGGTCCCCATCCTCCTGGGCACTGGGCTTCTGAGAGGGACCCGTCCCTGAGGCACCCGATCCTCCTGTAGCACATCCATCCCTGCAGTGCCCATCTCTGCAGTGCTGCAGTGCCCATTCCCTGAAGTGCCCCATCCCTCGTAGTGCCCCCTACTCTATTCCCCTCACCCTATACCACAGGCAACCACATTCCCCTTGGGGCATCCAGGCAAGTCCAGAACTCCACAAGGAATCCCAATCCCTGCAGTGCCCAATCCCTACAGTACTCATCCCTGCAGTGCCTTTTCCCTGCAGTGCGCCATTACCTTCAGTGTCCATCCCTTTGCAGTGCCCATTCCTGCAGTGCCTTTTCCCTGCACTGCCCCATCCCCTGCGGTTCCCATTCCCTGCAGTGCCCATCCCTGCGGTATCCAAACCCTGCAGTGCCCATCCCTGTGGTATCCAAACCCTGCAGTGCCCATCCCTGCACTGCCCCTTCCCTGCACTGCCCCATCCCCTGCTGTGTCCCAAACCCTGCACTGCCCATTCCCTGCAGTTCCCATTCCCTGCAGTGCCCCATCCCCTGCTGTGTCCCAAACTTTGCACTGCCCATCCCCTGCAGTGCCCCCCACCCTATTCCCGAGGCACCCCGTATCCACTGCTGCACGAGCACTCCCTGCTGCCCTCTGACCATTCCCTGTCCCTGGCTGCCCACAGGAGCTGAGGACCCAGAAGCAGAAGATGGTGTCGGAGCGGGAACGCCTGCAAGCCGAGCTGGATCACCTGCGGAAGTGCCTTGCCTTGCCTGCAATGCAGTGGTCTAGGGGTTATTTCAAGGGGTATCCCAGGTGACGCTCCTTGGGCCAGGCCGAACATATAGTCTAGAAATAATAATCTATTTTATTACCTTGAATATTTAATATTTTTCACTGGGAGGTTTGAAGCTAAAAAAATAAAATTGAAAAAAAAAAAAAGAACATTAATAATAAAAAAAAAAAAAAAAAAAAGAAGAAATAAATAAATAAATAAACGGAGAATGTGCCATGCATGAAGCAAAGGAGCACGGGAGCCGGGGAGCCCATCCCACGGCCAGCAGCCCCCAGCCTGTCCCCTCCTCCGGGGAGGGCCACGGCGCTGCAGCCCCCCCCCTCACCCACCCACACTTTATAACGCTCATTTTTTTGTTGGTTCTTTTGGTTTTTTTCTAAAAAAAAAAAAAGACAATTAAAGTCTCCACCGACAACACTAAAGCTGGCGGAGCCCCGCGGGGCCGGGTGCTGCCGAGCCCCCTGCTCCCGGCACGGCACCCCCATCCCGGGGTTTCCACTGGAAATGCACTTCGCTATCAAAAAATAAAGTCAATAAACTGGTTGAAGGTCCCTTTTTGTTCCTGGTTGGCGGGGAAGGGGCAGGGACACGCGTGGGGTCACCTTGTCACCCTGGCTTTGGGATTGAACAGTCAAAAAAGAAAAAAAAAGGTGCTTCAGCCTTGTACTGTGTATATATATTAAAAAACAACAAAGTTTTGTATGTTTTTATTGCTTTAATTATTGTTATAAAAAGCTTGCCTTTTTTTTTAATATGTTTCTGCTTTTTTTTTTCTTTTTTTGTTTCCCCTTCTCCCTCCCTGTTTTTATTTTCTTTCTGGTTTTGGTTTTTTTTTTTTTTTTTGGCAAAAGGATTAACTTGCTTTTAGTGTTTGTACTGCTGCTGGTCAGGCCAGAAAATATATTGAAGTGTTTTAAAAAGAATTTAAACCCGGGAAAAATAAATCCCCTTTTCCAGTGCTGTCCCACCAACCAGTCCCTTGGGAAGCTGAGTCCTTCCACCCTCCTGTGTTTTGTTGGTCTTTTTTTTTTATTATTATTATTTTTACCCTTTTCCTTTGCTTTCTGGGGTGTTTTCTGCTCCAATCAGGTAGTTGTGGGTGTTACAGTGTCAGGTGGTGTCTCAGCCTTGAACAGTCTCCACCTGCCAAATTCAAAACCCAAAGGAATTGCGCCGAGGGCTGGAGGGTTTGGGGGTGGGTGGCACTGGGGTGTCCTTGTCCCTCTTCCCAAAATACCAAGACAATCAGAGCAGTGCTAAGGCAGTCTGGGCAGGGGGAAAGAGGGTCTCTGTGAGTCTGTTGGTGGCACCATGGGGACATTCCAGGTTTGAGCTGTGCCCGCTGGCGGGCAGGGATATCCTGGTGCCACCAGGATGGGGTGACAGGGTCAGGCTTGGTGCCATTTTTAGCCTCTTTCTAACCCATCGTGTGCCCCAACTCCCCCAGGGAAGCCTTTTTTTTATTATTATTTTTAAATTATTTATTATAAATTGTTTTTAATTCACCACGAGACCGGCTCACATCTCCAGGAAAAGGTGACCTCTGCTTCCTGCTTTAAATTCCCTTGTTGCACTTGCAAAGAAAGCATTAACCCTCCCCAACCCCCCTCTGCTCCCCGCTCTCCCATTGGCTTCACCAAATATAAAAAGCTGTGCAAGATTAAAAAGCAAAATGCCCTTGTGACAGAAATTAGTTTAATCTTTTTTAAATCCCCAATTGCCTCGCCAGCCTCTGGCCTCGCCGCTGCCAACTCCGGGCTTCACAGGGAATTTTAACACAGCAAAATACTCGTTGCTGCACTCTTTTCCCTTCCTGTGTGCTGTGGTGGAGGGGGGGAAGAAGCCAGGGATGGAAAATCGATGGCAATTTATCCCTCACCGCAATGAGGAGCCTGGCTGGGATGTAGCCTCGCTTTGTAGCACCTCCTGTCCTGACTTTCTGTCCTCACCAGCCCAGAATCAGGTTTTTTGGACCAATTTCTCAGCATTTCTCCTCCCCTTGGGGCCATGGTGAGTGGTCGTGTCCGTACACACCCCGTGCAGAATTGCTGGAGCAGCTGTGCCAGAGCCTGGGATGGCTGGGAGGAGGGAGGAAGGCAGAGCCTGCTGGGGGCAGGTTAGATGCTGTGAAAGAAAGCAAAAAAAAACAACCCAAAAAAGGAGAAAAACCAACCCTAAACATGTTCAAAGCGTACTTGTTGGAATTAATTGTAATGTAATATATTATTTGTTGAATGTAGTAATTAGGTATTTATGAATATATTGCTGTAATTTCTGAAAACATCCAAAAACCAAAATAAACTCTTCCACAATGACGGCAACGGATTCTTTCTCCGCCGCCGGCAATGGGAACGCAGCCCTGCTCCGAGCATTCCCAGCCCTGCTCCAAGCATTCCCAGCAGCTCCTGCCATCATTCCTGCTGTCCCAGCCCTTTGGGGACGCAGCAGAGGCAGGCAGGGCACAGATGGCAGCAGGAGCCTGGCCCAGATGCTCGGGGAAGGGCAGCGCTCGCAGCCTGGCACCCTCGGGCTCGAGGAATAATTACATCTGCCATCAGCACAGCCTGGCTCCGGCCAGGATCCTGCCTGGATCCTGCCCTGGATCCTGCCCTTGCCTGTCTCTCTGCTGCAGGGAATCGGGGCTGGAGCCAAAGGAGAGAGCTGCAGGTTTTTCCAAGCATTGTTTAACCCGTGTGTGACACCACACAGGGATTAATTTGATGCTGCTCACCCAGCTGCAATTATTTTTTATTATTATTTTTATTATTTTTTTTATACACAGTTGCAGATTAAAAAGGCAAAATACTAAATAAAAAACCAGTCAGATGTATATTTCCCAATAGCCTGGCTTTGGAGAGGGAAAACCATTTTCTTTGTCCTCCAAAGAGCAGATGGATCTGCTTCCCAGCTGATCTCCCCAGCAGACACCTCATTGCCGGCACATCTTCCCCTTTTTTTTTTTCCCCAAGGCTCTGAGAAAATCCATGGCGAAGCACCGCCTCGAAATTTATGGCTTTCAAGGCAGTGTGTGGCCTGTGCTGCCCTCAGAAGTTCCCTCGCTGAAGTACAACCACAGGAGAGATCCCGCCCAGCCTCATTAGAGCCCAGCAAGGCACCTCCCGCACCGAGCCCCAGAGCGGCTCCCAGGGACGCTCCGGTGCCATCGGAGCAATTCCCACCCGGCTGTGAGGCCGTGCAGCTGCTGCCGAGGGAGGATGAGGGTTGGGAGGCGTCGGGAGGTCTGTGCAGGGAGGTGGGGACTGGCCAGATGAAGGCCCAGGGGTGAGGAGCAGAGCCCTGCTCCCTTTCCAGTTCCCGCTCAGAAATCCTGGGAGTGGGCACTCTCGCCAGGCTGGAGGTTAGTCCGGAGCTTGTACATGTGATCCAAGGCTTGAGTAAGGAAAGTCCCGGTCGTGTTGATCTCCATCAAGGTTAAGTTATCCAGCTAAAAGGGGAAGTAACAGAATCTTGGGAAGCAGCAGAGGACAAGGCACTTGGGAAGCAGCTCACAGCCCACATTTCCCCTTGGATGACATTCCAAGGGACCGACCCAGCTGCCACCCCAGTTAGGAGAAGCACCTGAGCACCAAGAGTACTATTTCAAGAGCATTCCCCATCCCTGGAAGTGTTCAAGGCCAGGCTGGATAGGGCTTGGAACAACCTGGTCTAGTGGAAAGTGTCCCTGCCCATGGCAGGGGGTGGAACTACATCTTTAATATCCCTTCACATGCAATCCATTCCATGATTCTCTGGTTTCCATAAGGCACAGGGAGCTGCCACAAGCCCGAAAAGTGAGGGTTCAACACAGGGCTTTAGCTCCCACAACTGACGCACCAACAACACAGGAAAAACATGCCCCAGCCAGCCTTTTCCCAGCAGCTCATTCCCCATCCATCACCATCCCACACAGCAGCTGGAGCCCTTCCAGCCTGGCTCTGTCAGGGCCATCCCAGCACATCCCCAGCACACCTTGGCGTGAGCCTCCTGCTGCCGCACGAAGCTGTCCGCGGACAGCCGCAGCTTGGCCATCCTGGTATCCCACGTATCCTTCACCAGCGTCCGGATCTCGTCGGCTTTGGGAATGTTGTCCGAGGCACTAGAAAAGGGAAAGAAAAGAGAGGATCAGAACAGGCTGCAAGGGACGTGTATGTTGTGTCACCGGCGTTAAGTCATGTTGGCAGCGCCTCACCCCTCTGAGGCAAGCAGTTTGCTACGGAGAAAAACCCTGCAACTCCACATTAAAATCCAGTCTGGTACTTGTGCTGCTGGGATTTCTGGGATGGTTTATTTACCCAGGAATGCTCAGCTCTTATGCAGCATCTGGTTCTCGCTAGAATCCTTCTGCTCTGTAATTGCCCAGCTGGTGTGAGGTGCACTGAGGGCCAATAACCTGGCCAAAGTCACGGGCAGCTGGGGAATCGAAGGGCTTGGCCGCGATTAAAGCCCCGGCTCGGGGCTCCCGGGTCTCCATCAGGGAGAATTAAGCTGAAAGGGCTGTGTGAGATGTGCCACATCGTCCCATTAAGGCCATTCAGTGCTGCCATAAGGACCTTGAGAGATCCGATCGATTCGCGCGGACAGAGCTGTCAGGGTTGTTGTAGTGTGAGGGAGGGAGCTGTGAGCCAAGAGCCTCATCTCCAGAGGAAAAGCCAGAGCTGGAATGACCACCCTGCTTAATCGAGGGCTTAAAGTCACCAGAGCCCGCACTGAGCAAAATACCAGCCAGCACATTTTACAAGTGAAATGCCTCAGCAGGCAGGAGCTCAGGCTCGGAATATCCCCGGTCTCCTGCTTCTCAGGCTGAGGAAAGAGGAGCTTTCCTCCTGAAGGAGAGCCAAGGAAGAAGCCTGGAGGGTTTAGGCTGCTGAACAGATTGCAGCCGTGGAACGTGTTGCGGATCCTCCAGGCCTCCACGCTGAGCTGCTGCTCAATAAAGCGGCACAGCCCCAATTACGAGGCCACAGAACAAGCAATCCCCAAGTTACTGAAATGCAAAGTTACCATGAGGAAACTGCTGCTGTGAAATCTTGGCAGGCTGTGAGATAAAACTCCGTTAACTCCCGCTCTTCCCACCGCCCTCCGGGGCTGCTGCCAACCAAGGCTTGAAAGATTGTCCGTGCGAGCACGTACTTGGATGGAAAATGCCACAGCTCAGCTCCTACTCACTAGTTCAACAGCAGCTTGGTGAGTTCCATGTAATAGGGACTGGGCATCGGAGTGAACGTGTCCTCTTTCCGTTCCTGGTCCCGGATTTCCTCCAGTTTTCCTAAAATACAAGCAGGGATAGTCAGGCATCACCAGGCCTTCAATGCTCCAGGTACATTTTTACCCATCCCTGGAAACACACGTGTTATTTCTGTAGGATCAACTCTATATCCAAGCTTCAAATGACATGAGGACAGGAAAAGGCTCCTGTGAGGAAGCACACAAGGATGCTGACAGGGACATCACAGCCTCCCAGCTCTCCCTCCTCACAGAGTGTCAACCAGAGTTTCTCTGAGTGAACAAGTGACAGGACAAAAGGAAATGGCCTCAAGCTGTGCCAGGGAAGGTCCAGGTTGGACATAAGAAGGAATTTCTTCACTGAAACAGTCATTAAATATTGGAAGGGGCTGCCCAGGGAGGTGGTGGAGTCCCCATCCCTGGAGGTGTCCAAGGAATGACTGGACGTGGCACTCAGTGCTCTGGGCTGGGTGACAAGGTGGGGATCGGGCACAGGTTGGACTTGATGATAACTTGGAGGTCTTTCCAACCTAAATGATTCTGTGATCCAAGGTCCCCAAAGCTCCTTCTGAACAAGCCTTGTGAGAGATCCAGGCACTGCTCAGAAAGACCAGTGACCACTGCTGAAGGTGTCAGGGCTGGGAATTCAATCTAATCCCTGTTCTTCCTCCTCTCCAGAGAAGCAGGAGTTAAATACCTAGCTTAACTGGGAAGATGACACCTCCTGTACCATGGAATCATAGAATGGTTTGGAATGGAAGGGACCTTAAAGTTCATCTCATTCCACCCTCTGCCACGGGCACAGACACCTTCCACTATCCCAGGTTGCTCCAAGCCCCATCCAACCTGGCCTTGGACACTTCCAGGGATGGGGCAGCCACAGCTTCTCTGGGCAGCCTGTGCCAGGGCCTCACCACTCTCACAGTAAATATAAAAAATTCCAGGAGTGAAACATTAGATCTTTCTCTCTCAGTTACTTTGTGTTTTTTTAACTAAGCTCCCCACTAAAGGTGAAAAATAGATGTTTTTCTAATTTCATGTTTCCACTGCACACACTGAAGGCAAGGGCTGAAGCCAAAGCCGCCATCCTCACCAACATCCATCCATTCTGGAGGAATCAGCCGACACTTCTGCCTCTGCTTCAGATTAATGGCCAACCAGACAGGCACTTCTACTGGCAAACCAGGATTGAAAGGACCCAGATCTCCCTGGAAAACAAACCACCACCCCCAATCCATCCAGATCCTTCCCTGTGCCTCCCATCCTCTCCCCTTGTTCCCAAACACCCCAGACCATCCCCAATCCTCTCAGCCACTCTCCGCCAATCTCCCCAGATCCTACCCCTCAATCCCAATCCCCTAAATCCAATCTCCCACACCTAATCCCTCCATCCCTGACCCCAAGACCCACCCGGATCCTGCACTCAGTGTCCCCAGGCTCCCCAAACCGCCCAGCCCTTGCCCTTGGCCTCCCCTGGCCCCAAGTCCCCCCTGGCCCCCAGCCCCTTGTATACCCTGACCTCCAAACCATGACCCACAAGCCCCCCCAAAACTCTTCCACATCTCCCCAGGCTGTTCCCCAAACGGCCCCAGCCCCTGCCCTCCAGTCCTTGTCCCCCACGCCCCTGTTCCCAGTCTCCCCAGGCTCTGTCCCCCAAGCCCCCATTCCCTGACCCCCCAGGCTGTGTCTCCAAGTCCCCAGCCCTGTCCCCAAGTCCCCAAGCTCCTCTCCAGCCCCAGCCCAGCCCATGAGCCCCTCTGATCCTGTTTTTAGTTTCCCCTGTCTCTGTCCCCCCTCCCGACCCCCAGCCCCGCGTCCCCAAACCCCCCTGCCCGGTCCCGCCCCGCGGCCCCGCCGACCCCGATGAGGTGAATCCGGTCCAGGCTGAAGTTGGGCACGATCGTCACCAGCTCCTTCTCGGCCAGAAACTCCACCTCGGCCGGCTCCATTCGGCGAGCGGGACCCGGAGGGGGTCAGAACCGGGATCAAAACGGGATCGAACCGGGATGGCACTGGGATCGAACCGGGACCACCCCGGGACCCAACCGGGTGCGCGCCCTCGCTCCCGATTGGCTGCACTGCCCTCAGGCCCCGCCCACCCCGCCCAGTTGGCTCCTCCCGACGCGTTTTCGCGGTCTCCGCAAGGAGGGCGGGGCCTGGCGCGGCGCGGCGCACGCTGATTGGCTTCCACCTACTGTTGCCGTGGCGCACGCCTCTCTGATTGGCTACCCTGCTAGCCGCGCGCTCCGGGCGGGCCCCGGCGGGGGCAGGTCCGGGCCTTGGCACGAGGACCAATCACGGCTCCCCTCCCGGGGCTCTCGGCCAATCAGCGCTCGTCACTTGTTGCCGGGGCTCGCGGGGCTCGCAGCGGCCCCGCCCCCGCCCGCCGCGCGCCCGCCGCTGGCGCCCCCTGGCGGCCGGAAATGGCACTGGGGAGACTGGCGTAACCCCGGGCGGGGGTGACACGGGCTGTGGTGGGTGACACGGGCTGTGGTGGGTGACAGGGGCTGTGGTGGGTGACACGGGCTGTGGTGGGTGACAGGGGCTGTGGTGGGTGTCCAGGGCTGTACCCAGCAGCCGCCCTCCTGCCCATGGCCTGGCAGTGGCCAGCTCCGTGTCTGTCTGTCCAGTTGTCCCTGATGCAGACACTCATGCTCAGGCACCTGCCGTCACCCACCTGTCTCTTCCCTCTGTTCATCGGCTTATCTGTCCATCCATCTATCCATATAGACCTTCCCTTCTTTCATCAGCCTATCCATCCACCCATTTCTCCATCCATCCATCCATCCATGCCTCAATCCACCCATCCACCCACCCAGCTATTCACCCACCCACCCATCCATCTAGTTACCTATCCACTCCTCCATCCCTCATCCATGCTTCAATATACCCACCCACCTATCCATCCACCCACCCATCATGTACCCATCTATCCATCCGTACCTCGATCCACCCATCCATCCATCCACTTGTCCACCCACCCAACCATCAATCCATTCACCCATCCATGCCTCCATCTGCCTTTCCACCCCTCCATCTGTCCATGCCTTCATCCATTCATCCACACCTCCACCTCCATCCAGTTCTCTATCCATCTATCCACTCATCCATTCCTTATAGCAGCAATCAATCCTCCTTTTGCTGTCTGTCCATGCACCGTGTCGTCCATCCATCCATCCGTCCATCCATCCATCCATCCATCCATCCATCCATCCATCCACCTGTGCATCCATCCACCCAGCCCTCTATGCACCCATCCATCTATCTCTTCAGCCATCCATCCATCCATCCCTCCATTCCTCCACCCGCCCACACCCAGCCCAACCAGGCAGCTTCTGGATGAATCTGGGGAGGCTGCATCTTGGCTTGCAGATCCCCATGGAAACAACCCCCCAGATGAATCCACCTCTCTCCAATCCCCCTCCCAAACTACCTCGGTCTCAGCCTCGGGACCACCCATGGAGCGACCCCAATCCTTGGGATGAGCGTTGCCCCGAGGGTGCCCCCAGGCTGGGCTGGGAGCCAAGCCCTGGGGACCCCCAGACCACCCCCCCACATGGGTGGCACGATGAGGGTCCCGCAGCCCCCCGTTCCCGGCGCAGCCCCCGCGGTGCCGCCGGCACGTGCTGAGCTCTGCCGGGCGCTCCGTGAGCGTCCCCCCCACGCTGCGCCTCCCCTCGCGTGTCTTTTGCCATCTGCTGCTGTCATTAAAAAATTAAATTTCCATCTGCTTTCACACTCCCGCCTCTCCCGCCGGCTCCGGGTGCCGCCGCTCCCCGGGAAGCATCGCCCCCGGCTCCCTCCCGGGATGCGGCTGATCCGGCGGGATGCGGGTGACACCGAGTTCATTTTCCTGGTGCTGTTTGATTCTTCAATCTGTGTGGGGAGGTGGGGGTCCCACTTTTGGCCACCCGTCGGCACAAAGGCAGCTCCAGGGTGGTGGTGACAGGTTGTTTTTGGGGGACAGACCACCCACAGCAAACCAGTGCCAAACTGGGGGGGGGCAGAGCCCCAGGGGTTTTATTCAGCAGGGGGATCCACGCAGTGCCACCCCCTCCACAGTGCTGTTAGGAAAAGGGAGAAAAACCAGTCACTGTTGTCCAAACCCACCCGTGTGGGTGCCACGTGTGTCCCTGCGGAGCTCCCGGGGTGCTGGATCCGGCTGAGTCGCATCCTGGAGGCTGCAGCTCCATCTCAGCGGAGCGGGGACACATCCCGCCGGGATAGTGTCCCCCCTGTCCCCACTCAGCACTGGCTGCACGGATACGGCCCCCCCGCCCTCCGCCCCTCTCGGGACAGGATGGTCCCCGTGGGTGTGGGTGGTGTGACGATGATGGAGGGCACGTGCAGGTGCTTCTCCCCCGAGGACGCCGTCGGGGGCCGGTCGCTGCCGTTCCCGCTGCTCACACACGTCTTCAAGCCTGTGGAATTTGGGGGGATAAAGCAGGGGCAGTAGGAGGTGATCAGGCGCGGCGCTGCAGCATCCCCCACCTCCCCGCCCTCCTCTGTGTCAGCCCCGCACGAGACACCTGAGAATCCACAGGCACCCCCACCTCACACCTCCTTCCCACTTGGATTTTGGGGTGTTTCACAGAGGCGGATCCCCCCCCCCCGGGTCGCCTGCCCACCTCCCTCCAGGGAGAAGATCGCTTTAATCTGCTTTTTTAATCAGCAGAAAAGCCCTGCGCGGCACAGGCGGCATCCAGGGAGGTTTCAGCTCTTCCCAAGCAGGAAAATGCCCGGAGGGGACAGACACTGATATTTTTAATCTCTTTTTAATTAAGGATAAAGCCCTGCCTTATGTAAGGGAGCTGGAAAAGCAGGAGGGTCTTTTCTTTTATTGTAGACTCCAAGCTCGTCGGAGGGGTCTGGAGGCACAGGGGGATATTTTGGAGCTCTGTCCTGGATTTGAGGCAGGGTGGGGATTCCCTGGCTGCCTGCTTCCCCTCTTCAGTCACCCCATGTTGGGCTGAGGGGGGGCTTGTGGGACCCCCAAATTCCCTAGACCACACACCCCTCCTCCAGCATCCCTGATGCGAGGAGGGGGCAGTGCTCATTTTTGGGTGATGCATCCAACTCTGTGCCCATCTCAACCAGCATCTCACAGAATTTAGGCTTGAGAGAAGCCAGGGAAGAGGCAGCCCTGCATCTTAGAGAGGGATACTCATTAACTCCCATCCCTAAGAACCTCAAGGATGATTAATACGGGCCACTGGGATGCAGAGCTAATGGGAGATGCGATATCCAGCCTTCGCCCTGCCAGGCCAGGAGCATTAAAAGCTCCCACTTTCACCCTGTGCAGACATCCATGACGCCATTCCCAGCCTAAATCCATTAAGAAAATTAAAGCTGGGGGGGAAAACTCATGGGTTGGAATATCCCTGGGGAGAGTGGAGCAGCGAAGGATGCTCGGGGTCGGTCTGGAGGTCAGGAGCTGGGACCCCAGGCCTGTGGCCTGACCCCAGGCATTCCATCCATGCATCCCTGAGCAGCCCATCCGTGCTTTTGAAGGCCCTTTCCTACCTCAAAAGAAAAACCACCTATTTATTGAGCAATGCTATTAACCCATGGATTCTCCAGAGCAGAGGATGCAGGACAAGCAAAGGACTGGACTTTTATATTTTGATAGGGCTGGGAAAATCATCTCCAGGGTGGTGCAAGTGCAACAGGTCACCCGTGGGACTTCATAAATACCACCAAGATCCCAAACCCCACCAATCCCGCCCCCACCTAAAGCTCTTCCATGTACAACCATCCCCCAGATGCCTTCACAGAGCAGGAGACACCCCAACATTCCCCCCCCGACTTACCTTTCAGGCAGGATAACTTGAGCCCCATGTTTTCATCCTTTCAGCGGGATCCGGCTCTCCAGCTCCGCCGCCGGTCCTTGCTGCTGGAGCTGGAAAAGAAAGGAGAAGGTTGAGGGGAGAGATGCTGGGAAGGAGGAAGGAGAGGGAACTTGATTGCTGGCTAAAAGCTCACATCTATCCGTGCGTGTCTGTATCTATAGGAGCCCAGGCACAACAGGAAGTGCGGCTGCTCCGTCTCAGAAACCACGAGTGATGTCACGGCACTTCAGTGACTCAATCTCATCCGATGAGTTTAGTAAGAACTTTTTGGGAGGGTGGAGAGGGAGCCTGTTGCCAGGCTCCCATCCCAGCCTCTCCACTCCTGGGGTGCAAACATTTGGAGGTGAGAAGGCCGTGAGCAGGTGGAATCAGGTCTCGTTATTTCTTTGGTTCTTGCAGAGAAAACCCCAAGCCCATGCACAGGAAATAGAGGAATCCTCCTGGGACTGCCTCCCTTGGGCTGAGCCAGAGCAGCTGCTGGGAAGCACTGAGGGAATGCACATCATCCTGCTCCTCTTGGGCATCCCTGATGCCCCAAGAGCTTTTGAGTGGATGATTCCCATTGTGAGACATCACTTTTTTTAAGATGCTGAAAGTTATTCTAGGAAAAAATGCCTTTACTGGGAAATCTGCATCCCTCCTGCCCACAGCTGCTGGGAAAAGCTTATTGGGATGAGGGTCAGTGACTCATTTTTGGCTCTCCCAAACTCTGGGCCCTGCAGAGAGCCAAACAAACCCTCTGCTCCCTCTGCCTGACCTCCAGCATGGCTTTAGTTTGCCTTTCCAAGCAGCCCTGAGGGGGGTCGGCAGCAGCCAACAAGGGGAAGTGGAAACTTGCTATTGCTGATTTTAATTCTGCATTTTCATGAGCTGAGACAGGGTGCAGGGAATGGAGTGCTCCCCATGCCTCCTACTTTGCGGCTATCCTGGAGGCTTCCCAAATCTCAAGAAACCTGTTTTGAGTCAAGTCCTGTGGTTTTGGGCACCTACTGGTTGCTCACACCACTCAAGGCCAGAGGGGAGTCACGCTGGGGACACCCGGACTCCCAGCATGGGGTGGGATATACTCTAGATCTGATCCTGTGAGATCAGATCCCAGTGGCCAAACCGTCACAGGACACAGCAGCCCCCTCCCCACCACTGCTGGCTCTTATCCCTGTGGCCAAGCTCCAACACCACTTGTGGTTTGGGTAGAGAAATTCCCCCTGCCAGCATTCCAGCAGGATTTCTGGTGGTTGCTGCTGAGGCTTCAACTTTACTCCCGTGTGCCAGCACCAGGCCAAGGAATATTTGCATCCTGACGAGTTCACGCTCCAAAAACCCCCAGACACTCATCACAGGCGTCACTGGAATGGGGGATGAAGTGCCCAGGAGAAGGGGGATGCTCAAGCTGCCTGTGGGGCCAGGGAGGACCGGGAAGGGGGAATGGGACCGAAGGCGCAGCGGTGCTCCAAGGGGAGGGAACTTACCCGGTCCTGGGAGCCAAAGGCACAATGCCCACCATTGCATCCCACCTCCTCTGACTGCTCTCGGATGCAGGAGGCTGGGAGGGGATTCCCCTCAGGACCAGCCGTGCCCTGGGAGCGCGGGAAGAGGTTGTAGCGAGAGCCGGCTTTGGGGTTTTGCAAGGTTGGCTTCTAACCTGGTTAATCAGGTTAGCAGAGTCCCGGCTCCTCCCATCCATCCTCCACTCCAGCCCCATCCAAGCCCAGCAAAGCCCTTGGGTGATGAGGAAATGCTGCTTTACTCTCACCCCGCTGCACAATCCAGTCCGGAGCCGACAGAGAGAGGAAGGAGTGCCCTCGCCTGCAGCCAAAGCCCGCGGGCACTGAGCATCCCGACAAGCAGCCAGAGGGGCCACCGAGTGCCTGGAAAGGCAAGTGCCAGTTTGGTATGAGGGTCCACACCCAGCTCTGGCAGGACCCATCGCCATCCCTGAAGTCCTGATGTCTAGAGACATCAGCCTCTGGGAGCATCTTCTCCTTCCCCAGCTTCCATAAAGGATCTTTTCCCCTTCCCATCTGACCTGTCACTCCAAGAACCAGCCTAGAAGTGGGAACAGCACCAGGCACTGGGTTTCTCACCATGCCCAGGATGAGAGCTCCGGGTCGGGTACCACCCCGCTGGGAGGACGCCTGGGAGAAGGCTCTGCCTCTGGAGCAGCCTCCTTCGCCTGCATTAGCAACAGCCTGAGGCTTTTCCATGTTCACCTCCTCTGCAATTAAGAGGAGAGGCCCCGCGCCGACTCCTTTTCAGACAGAGCTGAAAAGCAGCGGTTCAAATGCGGGGCGCCGGCGAGCAGGGAACGCTGGCCGCACATTAAACACCCCGCGGCAGCAGGGGCAGGGAAGGGAGGGAAAGCTTTGAACTTCACCCAGGGATCGGAGAGAACCCATCCCAGGAGCCTGGGAGGTCTCTGGCGAGATCAGAGCCCTACCACGAGACCAAGCCTGGCTGGGATGGGTATTAAGAGGAGTAGGGAGGGGAAACGGGTGGTTCTTCTCCGCTTTCTGCTGGTTTGGTCCTGCCATGTCTGATGAAAATCACAACTATGGAAAGGGCTGATTTCCTCCCCGACCTGACTCCTCTGATTTGTCAAATAACTGAGTTATTGGAAAGCTCCAAGCTCAGGAGAGGGGAGGATGGAATGGGGGAAAGGCTGCAGCCCCAGCTGTAGGCACAGTCCTGGGCACAGAGGTCAGGGCAGGGGTGTTTGCAACCCAGAGCTCTGGTTTTGCCCAAGAAAACAAACTAACTGGTTCATGTGGGGTTTTTTTTGCCTGTTCAGCTGCAAAGTCCAAGTTCTGAGCCAGAGCCTGATAAACCTGACCCAGGGACCCCTCATTGGCAGCACAAATCCAGTCAAAGCAGCAGAAATCCCTCCTCTGCATTTAGCTATTTTGATTCCTCTCTCCAAAACTACCTGTTTGCTGCTGCTGGGTGAGAACGAACAGCCCCAAACCCACGAGGGCTGGAATTAGTCTGGCCTGGGGCAGCAGTTGTTGCTCAAAAGCTGGCAGAAAGTGATGGTTTGCTGCAGCAGGGAAGGGAAACATAAACACCAGCCTGCTAAAATACCTGTGGTTTGCTCTGCGGGTGCAGCACTGCTCCAGCTGCTGTGGTGTCACCTGATAGGCACAAACGCAGCTCAAACACCCCTTACTGTCCTCCCTAGGGCTGGGAAACAGAAAGTGGGGGTTGGCCACCTCGAGGTGGCTGGGAATGGACTGGAACCTCTCTGGTGTGGAGCCCTCATCACTGCTGGGTGACTGGGTTAGGGAGATCTGAGTTCCAAGCACTGGAGCATCCCAGTGGGCCCAACACCCCTTTCTAGGGTCACTGTGAGACCCCCACACAGCCTTGTCTCCAATCTACATCCCTCCCAGGAGTTCCTGATTGCTGTCACAGGCGAGGGCTGAGCTGTAACTTGCTGAGCATCATGTCAGGGCAACTGGCCAAACCCCACCAAGAGCCAGCCAGGCAGGGGGAGGAAGAGCGTGGGCTCAAACAGCTCCCTTGGTGGGTGGGTATTGGAGCCACCTTCACTCTCTGGGGGAACGCTTGAACCTCCAGCCCAGGCAACCAGCTGAGCTGTCCTCTGATGTGGTCAGTCACTGTTTTCCAGTCCTGGCCGTGGCCCTTTGGCAGCTGAGCTGCTCCTCTCCCCAGGCTCGGTGCTCCCCAACCCACCAACTCCATCCTGCCCTGGTGCAGGAGAGGATGGAGGGGGCTGAGGCACTGATGGGGAGGAGGATGGAGGGCAGCCTCTGAACTTCCCTTCAGGTGAAGGGCAGGGTGAGCTGATGGCTTCCCAGGCGCCAGGGGAACCGCAGGGAAGGGGATGTGTTTTGCAAACACCGGCCACAAGAAAAGCTTTGGCTGGAGAACCCGGAGCAGCTCTGCCTGCTCCCTTCAAGGAGCTGCTCCTGCAAACACCAGCTGGGCTCGTTTTAGCAGGGAGGGAGGGGGATGAAGGAGCTTTCTGGGTCATGGAGTCCCAGGATCTGCTAACGCAGGTGACACGTCACCCTGGCTCTGTGCTAACGGAGCTACGACACCACCTAGCCCCCCTTCTGCCCCCATCCCTTCTGGCCCAAGCAGGGGAAAGGGCAGATCCCAGCCTGGCTCAGGGATTGCCCCAGAAAGGGGCTGAAGGGCCACTGCATGGGTCTTGCTGGAGCTGGAAGAGGCAACAAGGCAGCAAGTGCTGGGAGGGGAAAAGGAGCTCCCTCCTGGAGCCCCACAGTGATCCAGGGCTGGCGAGTGGTACCTGGAGGGGATGCCAGGCATGGGAAGGGAGGAGGAAGTCACCAGGAAGCAGCTGAGGATGCAGACTCCGGGGAAACTGGAGCAGCTCCAGCATTCCCCAAGCACAGCCTCTTGGCAGGACCAGCAGACCGAGCAGGAACCGAGCAGGCAGAAAACACCCCTGAAGAAAATCCGGGATGTGGCATGAGCGAGGCAGGAGCTGCTGTGATGGGGGGTTGGAAGCAAAGGCGAAAATCAGCACGTACCTGATGCACAAAACCAGAGCGTGCCGGGCTCTCCTGCATCCAGGACAAACGACCTCCCTGCCGGCATGGATTCAGCAGGGAGGCCACGGCCGGGAATTGGCTTAAGGACCTGGCCACGGCTGCCGCACTCCCCGGCTCGCAGAGCTCCAGGTTAATCTCAGCCCAGCTTTCCCTTTTATCCCCCGCTACAACCTCAATACATTTTTTTTCAATTAGGTCCATCTTTTAAGCTCCAGGGCGCATTTCTAGGAAGGGCTGTGCCGTTTCCCTGGGCCTTGGTGGGCTGGTGCTGCGCTGAGCGGGACATGCCTGGCACGGCTCCTGCCCGCATCCAGCCAAAGTGCTGCCACGCTGCAGCCGGAGCGGCGCTGCCTGGAACCACTCACAGAGTCGCCCACTGCCCCCAGCCCACCTACCAGGTAATTTTAAGAGCAGAATTCCCTGATTCCCTCATCACAGCTCCGGCAGACCGTGGAGTGCCAAGCTGGCCACGCTGTCCCCACGGGACCCCTGCCAGCCCTCTGCCTCCATCCTCTCCGAATCCGCCTCCGCCGCCTTTCGCAGGGCGATGGCTGGAAACCAGAGGAAGGGATGCAGCTGGGGTGTACTTTCGGATGAGAAGGCTGGGTGAAAAATGTGGTCTAAAAGCGACA